TGAGGAGAGGAAGAGGGAATCCTTATCCCCTTATAAAGGCAACAAATATTAAACGCCTCCTCACTCGCTTTAGGATTCGCATGTTCCCTAGGGCTGTATAAATGGCACGATTGAGTTACCCATGCCCGCATTGATGAGAATCCCGCAATAAGGGGACACGATCTTTGTTTTGACAAGACATGCCCGTAGCAACCACACCTCATAGCGTGGATTGGCTGAAGAAAAATGGTTCGAAATTATAACCGGACAGACGCGATGTCGTGTTGAGAAAAAGCTGTCAACAGATTAGATTCGTGCAAATATTATATTCTCTCTGTGGTTGTGTGTGTGACAGGTCCGGATACTATCATTACATCCGAGGACTATCTTGGAGTTCGGAGAAAGGGGAACCCGCCTTGCAATTCCGAAGACAATCTGCATGCCGGACTCCTCGTCATTGAAGCCAGGTTCAGGGGCTACTGAGGGAGTCCTGGACTAAGGGGTCCTCGGGCATCCGGCCTGTTATCTATGGGTCGGACTGATGGGCTGTGAAGACATGAAGGCCGAAGACTGCACCGTGTCCGGATTGGACTCTACTTGGCGTGGAAGGCAACCTTGGCGACCGAAGATTCCTTCTTATGTAACCGACTCCATGTAAACCCTAGATCCGGCCACTTGGTGTCTATATAAACCGAAGGGATAGTCCGAAAAGGACACCACATATACTCATTACCATACCCACATAGGCTAGACTTCTAGGGTTTAGCCATTACGATCTCGTGGTAGATCCACTCTTGTAACACTCATATTCATCAATATCAATCAAGCAGGACGTAGGGTTTTACCTCCATAGAGAGGGCCCGAACCTGGGTAAACATCGTGTCCCCGTCTCCTGTTACCATCGATCCTAGACGCATAGTTTGGGACCCCCCTACCCGAGATCCGTCGGTTTTGACACCGACAACTGTTTTATCGGAGAAGGTTAGACCAAAAAATAGCCTTTCATGCGACCGCGCGCAGGCGTTTTGGCAGTCGTTTAACGTGCAGACAGCTCCAAAAGTTTCCCTTCCAGACATGATTCTTCACCAATTTCATCCCCGTTCGATCCCACGAGATCCTTGGCTCGTAAAGAATAGATTGGGAGTGAATTTGGCTCATCTAGAGCCCTTGGATGAAGCTCATCAAGAGAGGAGACAAGGGAGGCTCCTATATATGTCATCCTCAACCCTAGCCGCCGCCTCCATCCTCACACCATCTCATTCATCCACAACCATCAGCATTGCTGCTTCACACCAGAGAAGGAGGAACAACGCGAAGGGAAGAAGGAGGAGGCTCCACCACCATGAGCACCGCCCTTCAGGCTGGTGATCTCGCGCCAGTGCCGCCACCATCGGTGGCACCCCCATCTCCATCACCACCGCTGCGGCCACCACCACCATCATCATCATCACCACCGCCCCGCCGCCACCACCACCATGTCTCCTTCCTTCATCGGCTTGATGTCGGCTTGTAACTTGTCCCTAACCTTTATGTCTTTGACTGGGTAGTTGTACTAGTTCTTGAGGATATGGTTGAACCCTTTAGATATCTGTTGCGGTCCAATATTAATTGTTCATGATTCGGGTTAGTAACCCTCGTGAATGTTGGGAGGAGCGCTCACTCAAATTTGTTCCTTGTGCCGTGAAGTATATTACTATCGTTGTGAAGGGTTAGGGTGTTGGGGTAATTCGAGGTGACAGTAAAAGCCTCGATTCCTCGCCATTGAAATTAATAGGAGAATTATGGAGAACCATTAGAGAGGCCTTGTCCATGGGGCAACGCTTAATTATCATGAGTTGTAACCCTATGGGGGAGGCTATGATGGTGGCGTGCATGGCATAAAGTCTACCTCGCGTAGAACGTGTACTGTACCCGGCTCCACCCACTTATACATTTGGCCAGTTACTAGAGGATACAATAGTTTATATATGGTAGTGATTCTGGAACCCTCGAGAACGTCTTACTACTCAAGCATCATCCTTACTAACTTAGTGTCATTTAATTCCTGTTTTTACCTTCTTGTAAGTAGTTTAGTTAATTATCCCTTTTATCTTGTTTTCCTAGCAACTTATCGAGTAGACTGTTTTCAAACTCCGGTTTGGATGCGTACGTGGCTGCGTGAAAGTGACAACGTAGTTGCGGGGTTTGTGGTGCCTCCCTATTCGCTCCCTGTCTGTGGGTTCGACACTTTATTTATCACACGAAAGTGCTACAACAACCATGTGCACTTGCAGGTCATCAGCTCGCCTGGTTGACACATACCGACGAACATAGGGCGGGCACCGAGCTGCTCCACGCCCGATGTCCGCGGTCGGACAAATCATGGTGATGCAGACTCGGAGAAAAGGAGTTGTGTCACATTGATGTCGATGCAATAAGGCATGTTCCTGGCGGCGGATGCCGGGGACTGCTTGCTAAGCTGTTGGGCAGCGTAGAAGTAGGGAGGCTTTGTATTGATCTTGCCAGGACCGTGTTTGCACGGACAACGATGGTGGCGTCACCCCCTCCCCGTCCCAGGTCCCGCCCTGCACAACACCCACTGTCCGCACCACGTCCGCATCCTACACGTCCGCCGCCACTACCGCCTCCCTTCTTTTTTAGTGGTGCCATCTCCTTTGCCTTCTGTCTGACGCGACAGTCTTGTCGTGTCGCCGAGTTGATCTTTCGGGCGTCGGCCTTCATTAGCTTTTCATACGGGTCCGTGCGGGGGCGGCGGTAAAAAGGGGCGGGAATTGGGATGGTAGAGTAGAGTGTTGAGAAATAGGGTTTTGCCGCAAAAAAAAAGAGTACAACTAGCTCCAAAGGCGTGGGTGCTGCCTTAGTTTCGGATGGGCCGGGAGTGTCGATGTCCCACATGGCTGGACTCTGCAAAGCCTCCTAGTTTGCTTCTGATTTCCGAGATGACTTGTGGACAAATACAGGACATCGTTGAATGGTTTGCGGCGTCCGGACAGCTCGATCCGGACGCTTGCGGGAGGTTTGGGGGTCGGTGTTGAAGCCATTATACTCTTTCCAGAGTTTATAAGGTAAATTGTTTTGTAACGGGTCACAATACCCCGTAGAAAAATTTCTGAAGAAATGTCTATCAATTAAACAGTCAACGTATCATAACAAAAAAGAAATCCATACATAATCCCAATGGAAATTCTTCGGTCATATTATACAGTAATTTGTCAGTTTCTTGCCCACTGGTCGACCTCAGACCCAATTTCTTTAGTCCAACAGAGTTCGACCCCGCTCCGGTGGCAGCATCTTTGTTTGTCAATAGCAAGGGGTGCAGTGATCATTCTTGTCAGAGACCAAAACCCCACTGCAAAATGGCATAACCACTAGTTTAATCCCGGAGCAGAAAGGGCCTGTAAAAGCTGGTAGCACGCTTAACCGCCAAAAAAAGCGGCACAACGGCCGTATCTTACACTGGAAGCAAAGGGGGTCGTCAGTGAGAACGAAAATTGGATCCTGGCAAAACGAAACCAATGCCATTTTCAGGTTTTGGGCAGTCAGACATCCTTCTCTTCTTCTCTTCATTTTACACGCGATTTTAGGCAGCCGTTTTGTTAGCCGCCAAAGTTCCTTACCTCATGCCTTGCCCACATGGACATACTCCCTCCATTCCATAATGTAGTGCTTCCTCTATCTCCGTGTTTCAACTTTGACCGTAAATTTAACTATCAAGACCGATTGCGGCAGGAGCAAAAATTATATGAGTGAATTCGTATTCGAAAGAAGTTTTTAATTATATAATTTTTTGTTCCGACGCAGTTGGTCTCGTTGGTTAAATTTATGGTTAAAGTTGGACCTCGAAAAGCGCAGGCGCACTATATTTTGAAACCGAGGGAGTAGTTCCGCCAACCGTTTAGTTAGGCGACTCAAACCTTTTTCCCAGTCAGATACACAATTTTGGCAGCAATTCTGTTCCATTCTACACAATTTTGGCACCCGTTTAGCTAGCCGCCATATTTTCTGAGATCATGTCTATCTCAGATCGTCCAGGCTCGGGTAAATTAACAAGCACACCATGGGATGCATCAAAAGATAATCTAGGCTCGGCTAAATTAACAAGCACACCATGGGATACATCAAGAGATAGCAGTATAGGATAGTATAGATACTCCCTCCATTTCTTTTTACTCCGCATATAAGATTTAGACAAAGTCAAACTGCACAAACTTTGATCAAATTTATATAAAAAAATATAAACACCTACAATACTAAAACTATATAGTATGAAAATACGTTTCATGGTGCATCTGATAATATTGATTTCATATTGTGAATGTTTATACTTTTTAATATAAAGTTAGTCAAACTCTATAAAGCTTGACTTTGACTAAATCTTATATGCGGACTAAAAAAACAGAGGGAGTAGATTTATAGTGTCATAGTACAAAATTTGTAAGAGCAGAGAGTAACAGTTAGGAGAACATTCTCCAAGAAGCCCGACTAAATATCTTAATAATAATAATCGAATAACAGTAAGCAGCTGTGACACAAGAGGAATTCAGTAGGACAAATCTCTTGATGTAGAAACTTATCTCTGACCCTTTTACCGAACTAAAAGTATCATTCTATACATCCCGCATCACAACTTTTCCATGGATTTCTCAGTCTCAGCTTAACCTGTCTCTCTCAACCAGTTTATTATTCACAACCCAATTAGCCATCAATCCAAGCCCAATTTGTTCCCAACTTTCAAATTTCCCTATCACCATGCTCCAATCCTTTTCGCCATCGCCACCGCGCAAACGGATGATCGAAGACGACGATGCGGAAAACAGACACCAACCAATGCAAAAAAACAAGAAAAGGATATATGCACCACGTTCTTCTTTACGCCGGTAGCTATCAATCAAGAACTGGTAATCCACGAACAACAATGACCACGTACTTTTGTGACGGCGAGCTCCGCTGGCTCTTCCACACCGGCGGCGAGGGGTGCGGCAAGGGAAAGTGAAACCGGCAATGCTTCTGTTGTCAAAGAATCATCGGTAACGTGGAGGCGGCGGCGGCGACGCGTATGGCATGGGGTATACTGGTGGCAACGGGCCGGGGTATGCTGGCGGTGGGGGTGGCCGAGGTGGGACAAACGGCTTGCACTGGAAAGCTGCGCAGTCGACGGGTGGGCGGGCAGAGAAAGCGGCGCACTGCTGCGGCATGCGCTGGGCGGGGCGGTTGGGGAGGCAGTTCCGGCGGTCGCCGTCGGCAGGCACGACGCGCGCGCAGGACGGCGGCTCGCCGGTGAAGAAGTTGTAGGAGAAGGTGAAGTTCTTGAGCCGTGGGAGGTCGCACACGGCCTCCGGCACGGTCCCCGACAGCAGGTTGTGCGCGATGTCGAGCTGCTCCACCTTTTGCATCCCGGCCACCTCCGGCGGCAGCGGCCCTGCGAGAGCGTTGAAGCTGACGTCGAACACCGTCACCTCCCGGAGCATCCCGACCTCCGGCGGGAGGCACGAGCTGAGGCCGTTGTTGATGAGGAGGATCTCGTTGAGCGTGTCGGACATGTTGCCGAGGCTCGCCGGGAGGCAGCCGCCGAAGTGGTTGTTGGCGAGGACGATGACGGACACGGGCGAATTGCCGAAGTTGTCGGGGAGCTGGAAGCGGAGGCGATTGTGGTTGAGGAAGATGGCGTCGAACGGGCGGTCGAAGAGCTCCCGCGGCACGCCGCCCTCGAAATCGTTGAAGCGGAGGTCGAGGAACCGGAGGGACGGGAGGTCGAGCACGACGGTCGGGAACGCGCCCACGAAGCGGTTGTTGCTGAGGTCGAGCTCGTGGAGGAGGACGAGGCGGTGGAAGGTGTCGGGCACGAGGCCGCAGAAGCGGTTGGAGTTGAGGTGGAGCAGCGCGAGGTCGCAGAGGAGGCCGAGCTCCGACGGGAGGTAGCCCGCGATGTCGCCGTGGTTGAGGTCGACGCCGGCGACGGCGAGCTCGCCCGACGACGGAACGGGCGCGCAGAACACGCCGGTGTAGCTGCAGACCCCGGGCCCCACCCAGTTGCCGGTGAGGTTCTTGGGGTCTGAGAAGATGGCCTGCTGCTTCCACGTCTGCAGCGCGACGTACGCGTCCCGCAGCCGCGGGCTAGCGAACCGCCAGGCAGGGTCCACCTCCACCGCCGCCGTCTCTCTGACCCCCTCCGCCCATACGGCCGCGGCCCGCGCTCCGCCCCGGCCGCTGCCGGCGAAGGCGAAAAGGCAGAGGAGGAGGAGCACCGCCGCCGTCCTCATCATCTCATCACCCAGATTTCTCGCGGGCGCGGAGAAGAATCCAGGGAACCGAACGGAGGCGGTGGGTGCAGCGCTAAGATTTGGCAGCAACTGAGTTGTGGATGGACGGAGGAGGAGGGAGGACGAGGGGGTGGAGGTGGAGGTGGAGGTGGGGAGAGGAAGACAGCTATGCCACAGCTCAGAGGGAGAGCGAGCGGGGTGGGAGTTTGGCGGGGGACGCGTAGCGGGGAGACGGGGCGCGGCGGGGGGAGATTTATGGTGGGGGGAGAGGATTTATGATAGGCTTGGGGTCCCCCGCATTTGTCTCCGGAGTACAGTACTACGGTAATTATGGCGGTGATGGCGTGGGTTCAGTGGACTGTACTGGACATGGCCAGAGGGCTGAGAGGCGTGACTTAATACATTCGTATTTAAACAAATTTAAGACAAGAATTTTATGACGAAGGAAGTACTATAATAAGAGTGAAAATCTGAAATTTGAATTGCTGGGGCACCTTCATCCATATGAATTTTGTGGAATCTACATCACACTGACGTCTAGCATTTCTTTTGTAAAGCATGCAACAGGCATCACAGAGCGGATCAGGATCGTCTGACGTACTGCACCCCTGACATGGGGCCATTGATGTGTGGGCCTGAGGCCACGTGTCAGTGTGCCAACGGAACGTTAGGGAGTCGCGTCCTCATAGAGCAATTCAATATTTTATTTTCCTTGTAATAAGGGTAAGGATCGGAAGATCCCTGGCATTTCATATCAAAATTATTACTCTTTCTATTCCATAATGTTGTGCATATAATTTTTTTTAAAGTCAATCTTCACAAACTGTGATCAAGTTATGGAGAAAAGATTTACATCTAGAATGTCCAACATATATCATAAGACATAGTTTCATACTTCCTCCGTCCCAAAATTCTTGTCTTAAATTTGTCTAGATACAAATATATCTAACACTAAAACGTAACTAGATATATCTGTATTTAGATAAATCTAAGACAAGAATTTTCGTACGGAGGGAGTATTTTATATATTTGTTATTATAGATAGAAATAGTTTTCTTCATAAACTTTGTCAAAGTTTATGAAGTTTGACTTTTTCAAAAAATCTATCGCACTACATTATGAAACGGAGGGAGTACAACACTGAATAAAGGACCTAAAAAGAAACAAAAAATTACAATATGGCTCTCCCTTCTTTTATCTAGGACCCCAACCCACAAAAGGAATGCAATTGAGTCCTAACAGGCGTAGCAACTTCGTTGGAGACTTCATGGCCGTCATTTCCAAACACAAACCTTGCCAGCGATGGGCAAGGGAACATGGGCCTCACTTGGGGGTTAAAAATGGCACGACGAAAGCAATTATTTTGTTAATATGTACTCCCTCCGTTCCATAATGTAAGATGTTTTTTTGGCACTACACAGTATCAATAAGAAATTGAGTCCTCAAGCTAGCTCTCACACTCCACAAAACTATTGAAGATGTCAAGGCCTGTATCCGCCACTTCTTCTCCATCTGGCACCGCGTCGGTGAATAAGAAGAGAGGAGGAGTGATAACCCACAAGTATAGGGCATCAATCGTAGTCCTTTTGACAAGTAAGAGTGTCGAACCTAATGACGTGCGGAAGGAATCAATAAGTTGTTTTCAGCAAAGTATTCTCTGCAAGTGTTGTAAGATAGTTATGACATATAGTTTGATAGGAAGATAATTCATAGCAAGTAACAAGTAACCAGAGTAACAAGGTGCAGCAAGGTGGCCCAATCCTTTTTATTGCAAAGACCAAACCGAAAGTACTTCTTATAATGAGCAAAGCGTTCTCGAGGACACATGAGAATTTTGCCTAGTCACTTTCATTGCGATTTATTGACACGCATTCACTACTTTGATAAGTTGTTATGTGGGTGGACCAGTGCTAAGGTGTTGTTCCTACTTGAACACGCAACCTACATATGATTACCCCCTCTTGCAAACATCTGCAACTACGAAAAAAGGAATTAAGATAAATCTAACCATAGCATGAAACATGTGGATCCAAATCAGCCCCTTACGGAATAGCGCATAAACTAGGGTTTAAGCTTCTACTCTCTCCTTTTCGGTTTATAGGGCTCAATTCAAAAATCTCACCAACCATGGTAGATGGTGAATGGTGGAATACTTTTTGTAATTTGCAAAAGCACCCAATTAATGCTCTTGTTTTCCTCAAAAATTTATGTTTGCCATGTATTAATTGCAATGCATGCACGCATAAAGTACATGCATTGGTCGATTTTCTCTTAATACTTGCATGTAATTATTTAATGCGCCTTGAAATCTGAACTTGTGATGGTGAACAACCAAATTGAGCCTTATAAAAGGGAAAAACTAAGATTTTGAGATAAGCCCTATAAACCGGAAAGGAGGGAGTATCACTCTAGCGACCCATCATCTACTTACTAATCCCACAATGCCTTCCCTAGGCCCAAGTATGGTAGTGTGTCATGTAGTCGACGTTCACACGACACCACTAGAGGAAGAACAACATAGCACATCATAAAAACATTGAACGAAAACCAACTTCACATTATTACTTATAAGAGACTTCTCCCATGTCCTCAAGAACAAACGGAACTACTCATAAATCATATTCATGTTCATAATCATCGGAGAATAATATATGATTAACAATCTAAACATATGATCTTCCACCAAATAAACCAATTAGCATCAACTATAAGATGTAATCAACACTACTAGCAACCCACATGTCCCAATATGAGGTTTTGAGACAAAGATTGAATACAAGAGATGAACTAGGGTTTGAAGATGAGATGGTGCTGGTGAATATGTTGATGAAGATGAGTCCTCCCACAATGAGAGGGTCATTGGTGACGACAATGGCTTCGATTTATCCCTCCCGGGGGGAAGTTTCCCTGGCAAAATTGCTCCTCTAGAGAGCAAAAGTGCTCCTGCCCAGATTCCGCCTCAAGACGGCGACGCTTTATCCCGAAAGACTTCTCTTGATTTTTTTAATGCAAATGGCTTCATATAGCAGGAGATGGGCCACAAAGGCCCTCTGTGGGACCAACCAGCTCACCAGGCGCATGTTCCTTCCAGCATTTTCTATATATTCCAAAATAGATCTCCGTAAATTTTCAGGTCATTTGGAGCTCCGGAGAATAGCTATCTCTGTTGTAGCTCTTTTCAGGTCCAGAATTGTAGTTGCCGACAATCTCCCTCTTGTGATAGAACTTGCAAGTTAAGAGAGAAAAGGCATTAGAATTGCATCAAAAAGTAAAATATAACTTTAAAATAGTAGTAGGAAAACATGATGCAAAATTGACGTATCAACTCCCCCAAGCTTAGACCTCACTTGCCCTCAAGCGAATATCGAGCTCGCTAAGCTTCACCATAGGTTTATAGAGAGAGGTGTCAAAAAACAAAATACGAACATAGTAGCATCATGATCATTATTATAACAAAAACTATCAATCATATAACTTCTCATGAACAAGTAACAATTCATTCACAAGCTAAAGTATAAACAATAAACTTTCTAGGAAACTAAAAAATTATGTTCTCCATCATTAAAGCAATTGCAATTCATCATATTTCCAAGAAGGGTCTATGTAAATGCTTTTGGTTTTAAAAAAATCACATACTCAATTATCATAGAGTCTTCTATGATTGCTGGCAATCAGAGCATATTTTTAGAACACACCGTTTCAATTAGACATAAAGGAAGATGGGGATTTAATGTTTCACCTCCCAACTTATTTATCTCAGGGATAATAATGTCAACGATAATAACTCATGATTACATATATTCAACTGGATACATATGCCTGGATCTTTCCTCGCCATATGATGCTTTTCAAGTTGAGAATAACTGAGGTTGGAATAAGAAAAAAATTCACTCTTGCATAAAAGTAAAAGTTAAACATTGAAAGATAGGCCCCTCGTAGAGGGAAGCAGAGGTCGTCATGCGCTTTTAATTGTTGGATGTGCAAGCTCTTAATGCAAAGGAATGTCACTTTATGTTGCCCATTATGATAGCAACCTTTATTGAGAAGTCCGTCATTTTCATCGTGTTACCATCACAAGTTCATATAAAGTTTATTTTTCCTTACAATGAACAGCCTCAAACCCCCTTCTCCCGGACAGATTGGCCTCATCGGCATCGTGAACTCCCTTATGGCACAGCTCGAGTACCCGGCGCTCCTCGGCGATGATCTCCAGATGCATCCGCCGGATGTCCGCCATGTACTCTTCGGCTGTGCGCGCCACCTCGAGCTGCTCGAACGCCTCCCGGTTCTCCCGTACCTCACGTCTATATACCACTCAATGGTCGATTTCGACGGGCGACGACACGTTGGGTGTGCCGATTGGAAATTTAGCTCCGCTTTGAAGTCGTACAGCACCACTGCCGATTGGTGGGAGCCCAGCTAGTACCAGACGCTTGTGTCAGTGTCTCTGATTTACAACACCCACATCCCCCACGGCCGCTACCTCACACCATGGTCCTTCTTATTCGGCGGCGGCATCGGCAAGTCAGCATTGAAGGAGCACGATGGGGTCATCGACGGTGGCTCGACTGTGTGCCACATCGTCGATCCGTCGTATGAATCGATGGCGGCTTCCTAGGAGGGTGGGATCCATCCATTTGGGGTGGCTTCGGTCGATTAGAAGGTTCATCAAAGGTGGGAGGGCCTAGGACGGGTGGATTTGGGCGTTGGCAGATACGATGTGGTGGTGGGGGCAGCGGGAGGGGCGGCGCGGAGACGGGTGTGACTGCTTTCTAAATGAGCAGTTAAAAAGAAAACTCATTCGTACCCTCTGATGGAGAGGAAGTCGGGTTTAAGTCTATAACGCAATTAGAAAAACAAGATGCTATCAGATCTATAACACACGCACCAAACAACCTGATAAAAACCCTAAATTTATTTTTGTATTGAATTAAACAAGGAATTCGTGAATATATGAGGATAAAACTAGCAACACGAGTGAACCATAGCAATCTAGATGGGCT